TTGCATGTCCTGGTAATCCCGGGTACCCAGTATTTCATGCGGTTGACCCAGACACATATTGGGTAGGGCGAATGGCCCTAGGCCCAGAAGTCATGGCCCCAGCCATGTTGCGGCCTTGGCAGCCCAAAATAGTTTTTGGGCCTTTGGCCCTGTGTGGCCAAGTCCCCAACCTGCTACAGTCAGGCCTTTTCGGGCTTCTTGACGTGTCCTAGTAATCCGTGGCACCCAGTATTTCGTGCAGTAGGCCCAGACGCACATTGGTATTAAACTTAATTAAAGTTCTCTTTTGGATTTTCAAACTCATTGGTATTGGCATTTCAGTTGCATCCATTCCTGCCTAACCATAGCTCCGCATGCAATAGTTGCTCAGCACTAGCAATTTGCTGTTCAATTCACCTGAGTTTGCATGTTGAGTACATGCGTGCAAAAGTTAGATCACTCTGCTAGCAGCCCTGTTACAACAAAGGCACATAAATGAGCTGATGCATGTTTTAACGAAGCCAAATAAATGAGCTGATGACCTGAATGCTCACAGCATTCAATTCATGCATCGGCCCAATGTTTTTTATACCATGTCATCGATTTGCATTGGTCAAGACAACTGATGTAAACACAAATTTGTCCTGCAATGCTTTCTGGATGTTTGGCTCTTGCTGATAAAAGACCTGGTGTTTGTGTGTGTGGTGATGAGTAGGCAGTAGATGGTGAAGCCATTCCTTTGGAGGTGCTACGAGAGGACCGGTGTGGTGTTGCAGTTCGGGCATTTTTCTTGCATTACAAATTGCGAAGTCTTTGGTTCGTTGCGCTCACAGGGCTTGTTCTCTTACTATTCTTCGAGGTAATGCTCCTCCCCCCCGATTCTTGTCGCTTTTCAGTCTTAGCTGCAGGGCATTGGATCTGGTTGTGAATTCCTCTACAAAGTCTCCAGTGCTTGAGACTTTTCCGGAGATGCACACACACAAACATGTAAAGGGGGATGGACGTATTGTGAATGAGTCGATGGATGTATGGACGCACATGCGGGCAGGCAGAGCAGGCAGGCTGATGGGCAGGTGGGTGTGTAGCATGAATGAATGCATGGATGCAGGCTGGTCCGGAAGGATGGATGGAGGGACAGATGGTTGGATAGAGGGATTGGTGGACAGAGGGATGCACGGAGGTGTGGATGGATGGACAGATGGAGGGAGGGAGGGAGGGGGGGAGGAAGGGATGAATGAATGGATGGAGGAAGCGACAAAGAGGAAATGATGAAGAATGAAGGGAGGTAGGTACTAGGTAGGTAGGTAGGTAGATAGGTAGGTAGGGAGGTAGGGAGGTAGGTAGGTAGGTACTAGGTTGGTAGGTAGGGAGGGAGCAACAGATGAAAGGAGGGAGGGATTGACAGAGGGATGAAGTGGAGGGTGGGAGGAGGGAGGGAGAGAGTGAAGGATCCTAGAACGGCGGGGGGATGGAGGGATGGAGGGACAGAAGGGGGGGAGGTGCGAAGGAGAGGAGGATGGGTACAGGGAGCGACAGAGGGACAGAGGGAGGGATGGAGAGACACGGAGGGATGAGCAGTGGGATGGAGGGCAGATGGTTGGACGGAGGAAGGGTGGAGGATGGATGGATGGACGCATGGGGGGAGGGGGGGGCAGATGGACGTTGAGACAGAGGGATGGACGGACGGAGGGAGGAGCAGAGGGATGAAGGTAGGGATGAGAGGGATGGAAGGATGCATAGTGGAGGGTGAAATGAGGGAGGGAGGGATGGTGAGATGGAGGAGGGACTGGGGGATGGAGGACCAGGGGGAGGGTCATATGGACAGATGGATGGAAGGAGGCACAGGCACAGGGAGTGAAGGAGGTAAAGATCGAGGCAAAGATGGACAGAAGAAGGCAAGGACAGGCATATCGTTGGAGGGGCGGAAAGGTAGACGGAGGGACAGAGGGATGGAAGGAGGGTTGGAGGGATGGAGGGATGGAGGGATAAAGAGATGGTAAGTGGAGGTGTAGATGGAGGTTCTGCATGGAGAGCTGGTGGACTGGTGTGACAAAACAGCACACTTGGGGCAATGGATGGACGGAGGGGGGGGTGAGCAAGCAGATGGGTTGATGGATGGTAAGATGGACTGAAGAATGAAGAAAAGGGTGGATGGGTGGGTGCAGGGATGGAAAGGATGGAAATACAGTGGTATGGCAGGACCAATACAGCTATTGTGGCATAACAGATTCAGTGGAACGCATACAAGATAACATGGTGGTGGTTTGAAACAGGGCTGAAAACTCAATTCATTTGTGTGAAAAGGAAAAATTGGAGATGAATTCAATCTTGGCGTGGAAAGTGTAGAGGTGTTTGGTGAACCAAAATGATTTTGCCTGAGCATAGTGAACAAATAAAAAGGATATGCGAAACTAAATTAGTTTGGACCAGTGTTACCCGGCCGAACGTTAGGAGGCCCCCAGGCCGACACCCGAACGTTCGGGCGTTCGGGGCCCACCCCTGAAGCGGTTCGGGCCCCGCCAAACCCCATCTCGGGCCAGAATTTTTGTGTTGATTGCTTACTTCCAGGCGCACATACCCCTAAATTTTGTGTCTATCTGACGAGTTAAAAAAAAACTAAAATTCTTAGAAGTTCGCGCTTTTTTTTTCCAACGTTTATTGTTTTTTTGATTGATTGATTGATTGATTGGTTGATTTGTGGGGGAGGGGTCACCCTCCCCCCACGCCCACGCACACAGACACACACACGCACACACACATACACACACACACACACTGTTCCTTTTGTGTACTTTTTTGATTGATTGGTTGGTTGGTTGATTTGTGGGGGAGGGGTCCCCCCCCCCGCCCGTGCACACGCACACACACACACACACACGCGTGTGCGCGTTCGACGCATTTTTTTTTGTACTTCATGTTTTTAAAAGGGCCTTTGCCCGATTCAGACCCTGAATGACGAATGCAGCATAGTGGGGTCACTCGGCCAGAGCCCATCTCGTGAAAAGCAGATCAAAAGGCATGTTCTCTGGGTCAAAAGTCACATCCTAACTAAAGCAAAAGTCATGTCAGAGGTCACGGTTGTGCCCCTGGACGAACAGTTGCAGTATTCAATTGTGGGAGACACATCTGTTCATCCAGAGGGTGTGCAAGTCATGTCTGTTTGTGCAATAGATGTGTCTGTTCATGCAGTAAGTGTGTCTGTTCTATGAAGAAGTCAAAGGGGTAAGGTCCCAGGTCAGATTCAAGTCAAAGGGAAAGTCTAGATACAGGTTAGAAGTCCGAAATTCAGGCCTGAAGGCCGCAGCAGCAGCAGACCCTGAAGGAAAAGGTACTGGGACACACACTGCAGAGGTCTGGGACAGGGAAGACCCAAGTGTGCCAATGCAGACCTCGCGAAGGGAGGCCAGCAGTATAAGAAACCAGGCCAGCCTCCCCACACGACAGTTCTCCAGTGGCATTGTTGCGTGGAAGTGCTGAAAGCACTTGTGCGCTGGCATGYTGGGGAAGCGCTGGCAGAAGAAGCTGCRCAAGAGGAGAGAARGGGCTGGGCGCTGGCTGGCAGAAGCAGCCATAGYTGYGCCAGCATGTTAGTAGATGTAGAAGGGTTAGAGGTAGTCTTCAGTGAGTAGCATTCAGAGTAGATTCTCGTAGTAGGAGTGTGCATGCATGGTGGGACGAGAGGACCAAGACAAGGGATCTTGAGAGAGAAGAGCAAGAGGAGAGAGAGAGGGACAGGTTCCTGAGTTGGCTATGGTGGATACTTACCTGTTCTGCGCTGCATTGTCATCTGGAGGAGGCGCTGGCAGAGCCAGGCCCCTCTGGTGTTGATGAACGAGGGAGACTTGTGATACTCTTCGGCGCTTTATTCTTGAACTCGAGATACTCTTTATAATGTTGTTGTGATAATATAAGCTGCGCTACCTTGGTTCTTATCCCATCTCGGCTTTGCTTTGTGTGAAGCTTCATAATCTGTGTGAATGATATCTTGGCATGCAATGAGATACAGTCTGGCAAGTTGTGGACCGTCAGGTCCCTTGCAAATTTGGTATCGGAGCAGAAGTTGTTGCGCTCGCTGAAGTGTTGGCATGAGTAAGGCCGGTGAGGAAGATATGTTGGCTTGAAGATGCTGGCTATGGTGAAAATGTGAGAGAGACTGGATTGGGATAGGAGAGGGGAGTAGGCCGAAGTGGAAGGGGCTCAGGAGGACTTACCTGCGCAAGGAGCGTGGAGTGCGGAGGGACGAGGAGTCTTCATCGACATCTGCAGAAGAGAGAAGAACCCCTCATCCCCTTACCTGGCTGCATGAGTGTGTGTCGTGTACCTCTACTTCCCCTCCTCTCTGGTGGTCGCTGCTGCTGTCAGGTCTACCCACGGTCTGGTCTGGTCTGAATGATAGGACTCAAGTGTCTGGTCACGTCAGAGTTGAGAGTGGTCAGAGTCCTGGTCTGGTCCTATCTTCTACCCCTCTGGTCTGACATCTGCGCTGTAGGAGGTAGTAGAGATTGGAGTAAGCTGGGTGTTTGCGCCAGACAACCACGTTAGGTTGTAAGCAAGGTATAAGGCATAGTCAAACTGGGAAGAAGTAATCTGTGATCTAAGTATTGTCCAGGCATCTGACATAGTGAACACTCCAGCTTCTCCCTGCGCATAAGGACAGACAAGCAAGGTTAACTAAAAAAAAAAAAGACACAGCCAGATCGAAAGGAAAGTGAGAAAGGTACTAACTAAGTGGGAGACGGGCAGCGTGTAAAAAAAAAAAAGGAGAAGTCCTATTCTACAGGGAAGTCCTATATTGTTTGAAATTCGTTATTCTTGAAGCAGCAATCTCCATAATTTGAAAAAAAAAAAAAAAAAAAACAGAACAGCATCGCGTCCACATCAGACATAGTTTGGTATAGTGAAGGGGTAGTCACTTGGTGGACCAGCGGAGGACCCTCTGTGCTGTCATCCACCATGGATGACTACCCCATGCAGGGATTATTGGCCCTATCTGTTTTGTTGGGGCCCATCTCCAGACTCTTCTTCCCATTGGGCTTTGGAAGAACATGTTCGTCCCGTATGATGATGCGATCAGGGGCAACCAAGCCAGGGCCCACGCCTGCAGAACAGGCTGAAGTGGAACGTCGGCAGGCAGAAAAGAAAAAAGAGAAAGAAGAAAGAAAAAGACAGAAAGAAGAAATAAAAAAGAAAATGCAGATGGAAGAAGAAAGAATGAAGAAGGAAATGAAAGAAAAGATAGAAAGGGAATTGAAAGAAGAATTGCAGACAATAGAGGAAGAAGATGAACCTGCTGATGACAGGCTCATCAGGCGGCGGATAGAAAAAGGAGAAACTAACCAGATAGGTGGGGAATTCCAGGTCAAACCGCTGGATTGGTATGATCAATATGCATATTCCAGCGACCGAATTGAAGAAACGGAGGAGGAGAGAGATCTGTTCGTTGCGAAACTGGCATCTATTAAAGATCAAAGGGAAAAAGAACTCTTGCTAGAGGAAAAGCGTGTGGAACTGCATAGGAGAATGTTAGCAGCAAAACGGCAAGAACTGGACGAAAGGAAAAAATTGCAAGTAGAGGGTGCAAGGCTACAAAGAGAACCGCAAGACCAAAAAGATAAGCAAGCTGCAACATAAGAAAAACTAGCCCTCTTGACAGAAACAGTTCTGCATACAAAGCAAGAGCTAGAAGCAATGAACAAAACGTTGCAAAAAGTTGAAACCCACCAATATGAGTTTGAGGGAGTCTGGAACACCTTTCTGCAGAAGTCTGCCAAAGATGTTGATCAGCATATTCAATCGTATATTCAGAAACTAGATGATCACATCAACCAAACCTTTACTCCCGCCGTGATTGATAAGATAGTTTGTGGCAGCGACGGAGGAGAAGGAGATGGAGACGGAGATGGGGGAGATGGTGATAGGAAAGGAAAGGGTGTGCTGCGAGAAGACACGGGGGATGCAAAAAAAATTAAGGTTAAAGTGTCGTGGACATACACAGGCAAGAGAGAGGAGAGTGTCCTACATTGGATTGCGGCCGTAGAGTCATATGTATACGGTCAGCGCATTCCATATTGGGATAGAGTTTTGATGGCCACCTCGTGCATGGTCGACGATGCGATGAGCTTCTCTATATCGTTGCAAAAAGAAGCGAACTGCCAGACCATGATTGAGTATTCACAGCAAACAAGAATCGAAGACTTCTTTAAGGCTGTTAGAGAAAGATTTGAAGATAAAAATCTGGCTCGCCTAACAGAAGTGTTAATCTTAAACATTGCAGATCGGAAATGGAAGAGTGCGTCCGCACTCAAAGCAACGATGGATGAACTCTTACAATGTGTTGAACATGGACTCACTCCCACTCAGATCCTCAATAATTTCGCTAGGGCACTGCCCGACCCTCTCCGTACTTAGTTATGTCCCCGCACAAAGGAAGAGGGGATGACATATGAGAAGTTCAGCAAGATCGCTATAGATCATGCTGGCTTCTTAGCCGAGGCTAATTATTGCCATTACTGGAAAGATCTGCAAGCAGGTAAGAAATGTCAAAACCGCACTATCTCAAGGAACATACTTGGGAAAGACAATCTCCTTCGTACTTTTGAAGAAGGAGGTGTCGAAACTCTTTCTTACAACCAGATAGATTATGGTCTGGAGGGAGGACCCAACGGCACGGTAGTTCAGGAGGGGGACTACGCGGCCATTGCAGCCCGTGGGGCAGGGCGACAAGGAAGAGGACGTGGCCGAGGAAGAGGAGGCCGCGGACGCGGTGGGAGAGGACCCGGTACCCAGAGGGGTGGTGGCGAAGGTAGCTACTACGTGGGCGGAAGGGGCAATGGTCCCTCGCAAGGTGGCCGTGGTTCGTATTCCACCTGGGGAAGAGGAAGAGGTGCATGGTATGGTACATGGGACAAACCATATCCACCCCATCCAGGTTTGCCCGAAGGGGAACCTTGGAAGAAATTGGGGATTACAGAGAAAGTTTGGCAAGATAGAAAGGTC